TGCTTGATTACTGGCCATCTATTAAAATTATGTTATTTAAAATAATTGAATTATTTTTCTCTAAACAATTTAATAATTCAATATTGCTAAAACATAGCTAAAATATCATACATTTATTAAGTAATGACATCTATCTTATTTATTAAATAAAAACATCTAAGGAAGTAATTTGCTAAACGTTATATAAGTAACTCATTAAATCGAAAATGTGAAAGATCACCATTCACGAGCAAAGAGGTGAGTTCTCTCGCGTTTGATGGCTAAAAAGCAGTCAAAGCATCGCGACATCGCATACGGAAAAGTGGAAAGTGGTTGATTAATTGTCAATGAGAGAGAGAAAGATAGCGAGAGAGAGAGAGAGAGAGAGAGAGAGAGAGAGAGAGAGAGAGAGAGAGAGGAAAGCAGAGAGCAGAGAGTAAGAGAGGAATGACAAGAGGAGAACGGAAACGGAGGAGCGCGCCTGCGCGTCCTTCTCGCGAGCGCTTGTTATGGAGGCTTCAGTCTCGGCTCACCTGGGCAGTAGGCAACACAGCCGACGCCGAAGCACCGCGCCAAGTATCCGACCGGGGAGCCCCGGGGACGTTCTAAAGATAGAAAAGCGCGCGCCGCCGATGCGCTTCGCGCCGCGCTACTACGACGAGAAGCGTGTCTCTCCGCGCGACGACGGCGACGCGGCGACACGGGCTTCCATCGTGCAACGACGATGAGGAGGTATCGCGCGTGACACGGAGGCATTGAAGCGAACGATCGAACGCGACGATCGAGGACGAACGCGGTGTTAAGGAACGAATAAAGGGCGCCTCGACGAGGACTTGTCTTGAGAGAGCGCGAATTTCTGATATCGCGAACGGTGTTATACGTGTAGCTCGAGGAAACGCGGGATGATAGACGCGCGAATCGATCGCGCGAGACAACACGCGAGTGGAGCAGAAGTGACGAGTCACTCGATCTGTCGCTCAATGCTTACTGCGGCGATTCGTTAGGAGAATCGTCGTATATATATATATA